AAATAATGAATAAACTAGTAGGCAGAGTGAATGGAATTAAAAGCAATCCTACTATAGGCGAGTGAGTGTTCGATCGTCCCTGAGAAAGACATGATCTCTAAAGACTATTTAGCATTGGAGGAGACGGACTCATTAGAGCACAAGAACATCCAGCGATCAGAAAAGCACAAAGGAATGACAGAAAAAAAGAATCCAATTCCAAATGCAACTGATCCAAGAAAAACCATCCGCCGCAGAACTAAATCAACTCCGGGCATCCGAAAACTTTCACATAAAGCAAGCAAAAATGTAGCGGCAGCAGAAAAAGATAGCAATCAAGAAGTGAAACCCTAAGATGCGGAAGTTAAAGAAAGATAGAGAGAGATGATTACATATGGCGAGGAGAGGGCAAGGGCCATTATCGTTCTGGAGGACAATAGGCGTAGGGCGGCCCAGAAATTGAACAGCTTTGGTCTTATACACGCACTCTTTTTCCTTCTCCTTCACTGGCGGTTGCTGCTGTTCCTGTGATTGATTTGGAGGTTCGTCAGAGGAAGAGGGCGACGCCATGGCCGATAATCTCTTAGGAATTGCAGTCCCGTTCGCTCTCACAGTCTTTTACGCCCAGAAATGATAAAAGAAGAAAGAAATGTACAATAGATGACAGAAGGATTTCAGATTGTTAATTGCAATGGGCGTGTGGGACGGCAACGACCACCCGGGTTTATTTTTTATTATTATTATTATTAATTTTTTTATTTCTTTTTACTTTTCTTATTTTTCTCCTTTTTCCAATAAAAATATATTTATAACGCGTTAAATAATAAATTTTGGTTTAACTGCACGTTACTTAATTTTTTTATTTTTTTTTAATGGTCAGCACCCGCTATCGAGTATTGCTAATGCATCGATAGAACTCGGGTGAATATATGTTCAGAATTTTCCAATGAGATGAACGACATATAAGTTCGTGTTCGATGACATGACCAAGTAGGCTACAATGGCCACCGACACCCCATGACTTGGGATGACATCAAACCTTCGTGTTAATTGGAAACTTAGATGATGTTGGATGTGACGCTGCATTGAGAGACTTTTGCCCTAAGTAGAGATAAAGTTGAGTTGAATGACTTTGCCTAGTGTACAAGCAAATTGTTTGTGTCGCAGATGATTAAACATGCACACGCGACTATGTTTGTGGTCGAACAAGCTTGGATTCCATACGAGCGATGTTCAGTTGCAAAGACAAACCTCGCCTAAGATTCGGCGAAGTTGCAATAATGAGTGAAAAATGAATATGAGGATTGAGTTCACCTGAAGATGATCGTGAAAGTGTTGAGATACAGTTGAAAAAATACAATGGTAAAAGTTAGTATTAATAAATTTAAAAGATATCCAATCAAGTTGTTATGCAACAATTTTGTTGAATAATGTATAGTTAAAATATAACATTGTATTTTAATTATTTTGTTACCATTTAAAATTCTTTTATTTTTGTATAGTTAATAAACCATATGGTATTACGACCTGGTACATCTAAGTGTCACATTAATATATGATAGTTTCTATGTTAACTTTATATATATATATATATATATAAATTTAGGGTAGGTACGGGATTGAAGATGTTGTTCCTTGATTCAGCTCCACTTTACTTTGCCAACACACATGCTGAAATTAGCTTAGATCAAAATTTTACGTATATAACAAATATGTATACAACGAGATAAAAACTTGACTTTCACAACGCCAAAATAACACATCTTCACGAGGGTTGACCTAGATTTTCCGTTTGCCCCTAAAATTGGTTTGAAGTTCAATTAAGCTAACCAAAGGACTCCTAAGCCAAAGCCCACCTCATCGGAAGACTTTCGGGGTGGGCAATTGAGATTTTGGTCTTCCCTCCTTTTCAGACTACATTCGTTCTCGAATCATATTCTAAAAACCCGAGTTTCTGTTGTTTTCAAGCTTAATAGCGTTGGACCCATTTTTCCTTTGTATTATCCTTAATTTTGTCCACAATCGGTCTAAAATTCTTCATTAAATTGAGCATAAAAAAAACCTATTAGTCATGTTGTAGAGCACGAGTTTAATTATGCCTTTATCGAAAGATCAAAAATTCAATTTGTTAATAAAGAAATATCGATATTAGTATATGGAGTAGGTTAAACATTATAATTCAAACCCAACATGCATCGATGATGTAATCTAAATGCAGTTGAAGTAGGTAGTCCCATTTTTCAACAAATATTTAAAATAAAAAGAGACAAATTTCAAGATTCTCGTGGTATCAGTACAACATAAATCTTTAAATAAAATAAAATATATTCAATTTCATAATAAGTAACTATTAATATTATATTTTGGGATTTTAAAAAATAAAATAAAAAATTATAGTGGGTTTAGTGGATAATTTAAAAAATAATAAATTCAATAAAAAAACAAAACAAAGTTGAAATCTCAACTTAATTTATTTACATAAATATTGTGCAATTTTTCTATAATATAATTTTCTTTTTAATTTTTAATTTTTATTTTTGAGGTTTAAGATCAGCATATTGACATGACAATAATAATGGTAAAGATCTAACTATACGTGAAAGCAAGTTAAAAGAAGTTTGGAACGGACATTCAACTATGGAAAACACATCCTTGACAAACACGACCAGGACATTTGAAATGCGGCCACAGGCAACGTCTTGGACAAGCTAACCGTGACACCCTGCGAGAACTCACCCCAAACAGAGTGAGAAGTCTCTAGAGAATGGAGACGGGAGATAGGGAAGAGCGCTAGCTTAACGAGATTGGGGATGAAGATTATATTCCTTGTCTCAATCCGATTAACAAGGTTGACGATGAAAATTATATTTTTTTTGACCTGCTTAGTCACATCCCACTTTTATATATATAATCATTGAGTAAATAAATAAATAAATAATTTTTAAGGGTTAAATATTAACCTTTTTATAAATTTTTGTTGAAGATATTATTAGATCTATTAAGATCCTTTGCATTTTTATAATAGAAATTACGTTAGAAAATATAAATTATCAGTTATAAATAAACTTATTTACGTAATTACCTATAAAAAAAAAATAAAAAAAAAAGGCCATGATTTGGGCTAAAAGTGAATGTTGGCCCATCTTCTTTTGGCCCAATAAAAATCCGTCGTCTTATTTTTCATAATTAGCTAAATCCAATAATGAATGTAAATATTTAATTGACTTTCTTTTATTTATATATATATATTATTTTTTGATAAATTGATTAGGGATTTTAAATTTATTTGAATTGGATTGAATTTATAAAACCAACTCTAATAATAGAAAAGGTTGATTACACTTAACACGTAAGAGGTTGGCTAAGTCAAGCGACTAGCTCCTTAGAAGATTGAGCAAGACCTAAACGATCGAGTCTCGAAGGATTGATTGATACCTCATCGTATCTATCACATAGTCATCTATCTGATCAATAACAACGCATTCTTATAAGAAGGATGTTGACAAACTCTATCTTTCATTACAGAACAAAATGAACTCAATACCAACAGAAGTATCGAAGCAAGTGTTGTAACAGCTCAAGCTAACCGCTAGTAGATATTGTTTTCTTTGAATTTTCTCTTACGAGCTTATCCTCAAGGTTTTTTAAAACGTGTCTGCTGGGAAAAAATTTCTATACTCTTATAAAGAATGTTTTGTTCCCTTTTACAATCAATATAGGATCTCACGATCCACTCCTCTGTGAAGCCACCGTCAGCACTCGTTTTATGTATAATATATTAAATATAAAATTAAAATTAAAAATATGGGTAAGAATTTATCGGTTATAATTAAGAATTTTAAGGAGCAGAACAAATTTCTAAATATTCGATTTGTGAAATTTAAACACCAACTTGCTTTATTAAAGTCATAAACTATAAAGGCCAAACTTTTTTGTTCAGTTTAAAGTGAATGCATATTTAACTTTTTGTTTTGGTACTTTTTTCGGTTAAAATTAATAAAATTTCCTTAATGCCAAATAATATTTAAAAATGATTCCAACCCATTACATGAACATTCAGCTATTAAATAATTAATTTAGATCATTTCGAATATTTTTCCCTACTTATTATAAACTAAAACATATAGGTTATAATTTTATTTAATTCATTTTATGTGATTATTTTTTAAATTTTTACGATTTTTTTATTGAGCATATTTAAAATAGTTACGAAATATAATAGGAGTTTCTTAAAGTAAACATTTCATTAAATTTGAAATAAAGTAAATAAAATAAATATAAAAGATAAGCAAGTAGTGTTATTAAAGTAAATATAATATAAATAAAAAATGTTTATTTATTAATTTTTAAAATATAATTTGGAGGTTTCTATTTTAAAATTGTTTTCATAAATTTTGGAAACTATTCTCGATATATTCACTTGGGACTAAAAAAAAATATAAATATAAATAAAAAAAAGTGACGCACCAATCAATATGGAAGAGCCACGTGACAGAGGACGACGGTGTTCCCGGTGAGTGACGTGGGTGAATTTGATTGGTCCAGGTCTGAAGCGAATCGTACGGAACAATAAACCCCATAAAAAATTTATCGTACGGACAAATATTTGTTTTAAACCCCCAAACCGAAACAGCTTTTACGGTGTCCAACGAGTGCTCCAAATTTTACCTGCAACCCAGAACTACCCAAGTCAATTCCCCAAATTACCCCTCCCCCCCGTTTACATTCACCCGTTTAACTGGCAACCGACAGGAATGTTTGCTGTCCTCACTCCTCAGCTTCAAACGCCTCCTTTGCCTCTCCAAGGGTCACCGGCAGCAGAGGTTGTCTTTCACTTTAACTACGTGTCACCGCGTAAGCTAGTAGCACACTAACCCTCGTGCACCCAAATGTGACGAGCCAACAAAAAAAAAAAAAAAAGGGTTTCTAAGTGGTCGTATTTATTCTGTTTGGTTTCTTTTTTTGGGAAGTTCTTATTTTCTTTCCTGAGTTTTCCCAAAAAAGAAAGAGATCAGGTTCTTCTTTGCTTCAAATTCTCTTTCCTTCTAAATTTCGTGTCTTTTTTTTTTCTTTTATTATTTATACGCCATTTCTAGGGTTCTTCTTGCCAAGAAAACCCACACCCAAAAACCCCATAAATTTACTCCACTCACTGTTCTTCCATCTGGGCTTCTCTGATTTGGTGTGTTTTCTTGCAAATTCTTCAATTTTCTTCCATTTTTTCAAATGGGTTTTCATTTTCGCTATCTGGGTTGTGATTATTTTGGTGTTTTCCTTCCTTTTTTAGTGAAATTTTGTTGAAATCTGACACTTTTTGTGCATAAAGGAGGCGACTTTGAGGCAAAAATGGTGAGAGGCAAGACTGAAATGAAGCGCATAGAGAATGCCACAAGCCGGCAAGTCACGTTTTCAAAGCGCAGAAATGGACTGCTGAAGAAAGCCTTTGAGCTATCAGTTCTGTGCGACGCTGAAGTTGCCCTTATAATCTTCTCTCCAAGAGGCAAACTTTACGAGTTTTCCAATTTCAGGTACGTTTTTTTTCTCTCTCTTTTTTCCCGTTTCAGTCACTCTCCATTAATGTTCAAAATTTACTCATCAAACCTCTCAAATCATCGTCCTTTTTGGGTTACTAATTAAACTTTTGTACATCTTTATTTCCTTTTGGTTACTGTCTATTTCCCTTGGTTCTCAAATCATTGTGGACACCGTCCTTCTTCTTTCACAAACGAAAAGATAGTGAGATTTTTCGCAAAAAACACGAGAAGATATGCTCAAAGTGGTTAATATCATATCATCGTAGAGATCCGTAATTCCTAATAACAGTACAATGGTTCTCTTATTTCTCTAACCCCAATAGACTAATTAGGAGCCTCTCTTACTGATTTGAGGCTTATTAATTTGATAGATTCTGTTTCTTGTTCGATAATTGAAGATAACTGTACCAGTTTGGTACAGTAAGAACGTCTTAGTATCATATTTCATGTCAAACCCATTTGATTTTGGTTAAATCTAGGAACTTGTCAAATCATAATCATTCAAAATTTATTTCAAATAATTTCTTTAATCCAGATCTACTCTCTAAATCTGTAACGGAATATGTTCGTGTTTATTTCTCGACGTCTGTTACTAGTCCTTAAAAGAAAGGACGTTTTTCATTCTCCAAGGTTAGGCTCGGACTTTGTAGATCAACAAAAATTTGCTTTAAGAAAAGATTAGTAGGTTGTAATTTAAGGAAATGCTAGGCCATCCCAAAATTGGAAGCTATACTCTATTAGGGACATGATTTGGAACATTTGGCTCCAAAATCCAATGGGACAAACAAAAATAATGAGAAAAAAAACTATCTTTTTATCGATCTAAGATAAAAATTTCTTTCCATTTTGGTTATTTATTCCCACGCATGGCTTTGATGGCCATATCCCGATGAACATGGGAAATCTTGGTGTTCGTTTGATTAAAGTTGTAAACTTTGTGATAATCTAAGGCTAAAAGAGTATGCCCTAAGAAGAACAAGATGTGTTTAATATCAACTTCCGAGTTCAAATGTGGAGCTGATTTTGTTGTTGTTGTTTGTTTCAGTATGAACAAGACAATTGATCGTTATCAGAACAGGACCAAAGATTTGATGTCGAGTAACAACACGGCTGTTGAAGATTTGCAGGTTGGTTTTCTTCTTATTGCAAATTGATGTGTTGCTTAGAAGTGGGAAAGTGAAAGATAAACGTGTATCATATTTGAGTCTCGTTGGATAATCATTTGGTTCTTGATAATTGTGCTTGTTTTTTATCGTTCATATGTAAACGTTTGCATTCTTTCAGAAACAAAAAGGAACAAGGTTTTAAGATCCCATTTAAAACCCATTTAGATTTGGACTTTTCGGAAACCTCTTCCTAACAAACACGTTTTAATACCGTCCCGATGGGCTTGAGCTGTTAAAAATTTAGCTAAGAATTCAAATATTTAATTAGGAAAGATGGAACTCATAAAAGAAATTATAAGAAAACAAACCTAATTTTTAAACATTAAAAATAAAAACCCGAGTAGCTATCTAACGAGACATCTTTTTCTTCTGAATGAGACGGAGAAATTATTGGAATTTGGCTAATAATTTCACTCCATTCGATGTATTGTGAATCTGTATTCAAAAGTTGTTATAACAAGTCTAGATTCATGATATGATCCAACGATTAATCATGTTGTAGCAGTTTCCTCCCATAATTTTTCGTAAAACAATACCTCAATGTGTTCACGTTCCCTTTTTGGCTTCATGTTTATGATATGAACTGATGAATTTATTTGGACTGAAAGTTGGAGAAGGAACTCGACTCGTTTACCATCACAAAGAAGTTGGAGCACCTTGAAGTTAGTAAAAGGTTTGTGATTATGTCAATTGATATCGTTAAAATCACTCCAAAACATGCCTTCAATCATTCAAAATGATTAAAATCATGTTTATGAGTGATCTTAACGCTTTCCGAATCACTTCCAAACATACCCTAATCCATCAAAACATTCGAGAGATGAAACTCAAGATCGATAAGCTCGAACTAATGCAGAAAACTGTTGGGAGGTGGGTTGGATTCGTGTTCGATCGACGAGTTGCAGCAGCTCGAAAGACAGCTTGAAAGAAGCTTAACCAAGATTAGGTCAAGAAAGGTAGTTCATCATGTTCATAGCTGAGTTTTCTGTAATCGTTCCACGTCGGATTTTAATTTAATTGCATTTTGTCAATTCTCAGTATCAAATTTTGAAGGAAGAAATTATGAAACTGAAGGAAGAGGTAATTTATTTATTTATTTATATTATTATCTAATAAAAATAATAAAAGTTTTATTGCAATTTTAATTTGGCACAGGAGAAACTGTTGCTGGAAGAAAATGCAGCACTGCAGGTGAAGGTTATGCAATCTTCTTTCTTTCCATTAGTCAATTATTTTTAACCCTAATTTACTGTTTTACCATTTGTGTTACTGCTATGTTTAAAAAATAACTATAAAATTTTTGCTGACGTGTTCAAAAAAAATTCATACCGTAATATATGGGCGAAATTGTCTATTAACATCTTATAGATTATCTCTAAAATTTGTAATATTAATTTTTAGAAGTACGAGTATTTTTTTAAATGTGATGCTAATAATAAGAGTATTTTTTTTTATTATTTATTTTTAAAATTCAAACTTATTTTTAAAAGCTAACCATAGTTTTTTTTTCTCGAATTTAGCTAGAAAGTGAAAATTATACTACGGGAGAAAACTAAAATTGAAAAAATAAATTCGGTCGTTTGAATTTCTAATGTAGGAGTCTTTTGGAGAGCAGCTCACTCAACTTAACTTACTCTTATAGCCTCGGTTCCTTATTCTAAAACCTACCCTTCACATTTACGGAGGATCCCCTCTAACCTAAATTATCCAGTTTGATTTTGCATCATAAATTACGTAGAACAATTTATTTTAAGAACGTTTTTAGTTCCATCTTTGTTAACTTTGGAAGTCTAAAAAACGTTGTTTTATTAGGTTTAATCGTTTTTTAATAGGTTCGTATTAAACTACTCGAAAAATTAGAAAAAGTAATAAAAGGGTTGTTCTTTACCATGGTAATTGTTTTTCAGGTTGGAAGAGAATCATCAAAAAAAGGAGAAACGAAGCAGAGATCAGAATCAAAGGAGCAAGACATAATGGATGTGGAAACTGAACTGTTCATAGGACTCCCAGAAAGAAGAACAACCACCAATGGCTTCCTCTAGATTTTCAAACAAAAACCCTCAAAAATTTATATTTCAAAACAAAAAAAAAAGAAAAAAGAAAAAAGAAAAATACAGAAAATGGTTTCTGATAAAATGTTTCATTAAATACTTTGAGGAAAAGTATAAACATGAAACTAAGTGCATATTTAGGATCTGTTCCTTGTTGGATTCTGTCTTGTTCGGCTCATGTTTATGTTTTTTATGGCTTATTTTACTTTAATGAATGTCTTAAATTTGAATAGAAATTGTTTATATATATTATGAAGCCTACAATAATTACTTTTTAATTTATTATTTTTTTTTATTTGAATTCGAGAGGTATATGAATTGGGTTGAGTTGAGTTAGTTCATCAATTCACCATCTCGGATATTTTATCGGAGAGAGCAACCAAACCCACTGAACCTCGAGTTGGGTTCAATGATCATGGAAGAAGTTGAATGAAAACATAGTCGAGAGGAAGAAGTTGAAGATGAACGAATTGATAGGAGTTGAAACATAGTGTTATGGTCATGCTTGTTTAAAGCGCGTTGTCTATCGTTGTAATTTCGCCACTAAAGTAGTATTTTAATTTAGAATGAGAAAAAAAAAAAATTGAAAGTTAAATTTCAATTTACAGTGTCGTATTTTCTTATGATTTTTTTTAAATATATATGTATTTTTTAAGAATTGAAGTTTAATTGACACGTCGACTATAAAATTGGGCTCACTTTAACTGGGCTTGATGGGCTCAAGTCAGATGAGCCCACTCAAAGCCAGTCCATATGGAGTTTGGGCTGTCTGGAGTGGCCCAAACATTGCCCAGAAGACTCCATTGGGCTTCTTTCCACCCACCAAAATGGGTCGGAGGTTCGGTGTTGTCTTTGACCCAGGGGCAAATAAGAGATTTCACTTCTTAAAAAGGTAAAACAAAACAAAAATACAATTTAAAAAAAAAAAAAAAAACTTTTTTAGTATCTAAAATTTCACTTAATATTAGGGTTTATAATTTTTTTTTAAAACCAAAGAAAAAATATAATTAAATGAGTTGGATAAGAATAAAAATATTATTTAATGTAAAGAAAAATAAAAAAAGCATATAAAAAGATTATTATTATATTTGTATTGTTTTAAAGAATGATTTATTGAGCATTGGAAACTCTTTTAAAGGACGGCAGCAGTAATGCAAACAAATTAATCCTTTAAATCAACTTTATTTGGTGGTTTTGTCATATATTATTATATCTATTACCTATTTTTCTTTTTCTTTATTTTGCTTTTAAATATATTAATATTCAAACCCTATACCAGAATAATAATAATAATAATAATAATAATAATAATTCATGTGGGACCCATCAAAAAGGGAATTATTGAACTAATTATATTATTATTATTTTTTTCCTATCAAATCTTCAACAAAAGTACATCAACCAACACGACAACAAGACAATGCGACAATTTTATAAATCTTTTATTATAAAATAAATTTATTATTTTTAATTATTTGAAACTTTAAATAGAGAAAATGTTTAATGGAAACGTGAAATGCCACGCAAGTTTTTGGAGTTTATAGTGCTTCACTTAGCCTGGTTGGTGTCATTTATTTAAAATAAAATAAATAATAAATTAATTAGTTGAATTGGAAGATAATGATGATAACTTAGGAAGGAGATTTAGTTTATTTTTGGAAAATATATTAATTTATACCCTGTCCTCATCAATATCTTCAACCAATACAAAATTAATATAAATGCTTGGTTGTGATTTTCCTTATAAATTATTATGAATTTTAAAGGTAATTTTAATAAAAGCTCTAAATTAATTCGTTCACGTATAATTAAATTCATACAATTATTATTTTTTTTCCCCATATATATGATTTTATTTTTTATATAACCAAAATAATAATAAATAAAAACAAAATTTAGAAAACAAAAAAGGCTTCTAGAATTAAAGTAAATGAATTAAGTGGGTCATTTAAAACGCACTACATTGATACATGTTAGCCATTCACATAGTATGATATAACCTACAAACTTCATTTTAAAAATTAAAAAAAAAAAAGGAAAAAAGAAAATATTTTTCAAAATTATGTAAAACCTTTTAAGTTGAACAAAAATTAAAAAATTTAATATATATATATATATATATATATATATATATATATATATATATATATATATATATTAAATAGTTATGAATCCCATAAAAAAAAGATTTAAGATTTGAAACAATAATGGAAAAGAATAATACATATATACATGAATTATACCCCAAATATGTATGAATGAATCATATGAATAAAAAATCTCTCCTCACTTAAATTTACAAGTCACTGAAGTAATAATCAAAATATTGGGTAATTATTTACTTAACTAGATATATATATATATTTTGTATTGAAGTGGGGAAGAGAATAAGGGAGATTTGGGATCCATCTCCTCCTCGTGTAAGACTACAACAAAATCCTCACTTCCTTTTTCATCTACAGCTTTCTCAGATCTCATCTACCTTTGCTTTGGCTAATGCAGACCAGATTTGGTTATAAGTTCTTCACTTTGAATCTTTGTAAACCACAGACAAAATCCTTGTCATTATTATTCCTCAAAAAAACATATGGTGCAACAACGTTGAAGGGTATGTGTTAAGAGCTGCCATGTCGAACCGTTCTTTGATTGTTAACGGATGGTGGTTCGTCCTAGGAACGATGCTCCGATTTCACTGTCCGTGTTCTGCGTTATGATTCAAACCCAGATGTGAGTTTGAGTTGACAATGAAATGGAACACAAGAAAGTCCTTTCCATAAGGATCCCAAGAACATAATGTCAGACAAACATGTGTATATCATTTAAAAGTTTTCAAGACAGCTCAGTAGCAGCTCTTCATTTTGTCTCACTATAACTTACTTAACTTGATCTGATCTCGAACAAATCACAAGTATTTCAGATCACATATGCAAATAGACGATTTATTACCTGCGATTTAGGCGATGGGAAGACGTTCCAAAATCTCAGCGTTTCATCACCCGCCCCTGTTACAATGGTCTGCAAAGGAAAAGAATTCGATCAAAAAACAAGTATTTATCTTCTTTCTTCACATAATTAGAAATGTCCAGGTCGAGGTCGAGGTCGAGATCACAGTACAAACAAGTAAATAAGCTACCTGTCCATCAGGTGATATGGCAAGATAAAGAACTCTGAAAGTATGGCCGGTCAATGTTGCCAACTGCATTAGAGCATACTTAAATTCAGATTGGGAAATAGCAGAATATGATTATGGTTGAGAAAGGACGGGAAAAAAAACAACGGACCTTAGACATAGTTGGATATCTCCAGACTATTATCTGGTTTTGGGAGAACCCGTGAGTACTAACAAGTTCATTAACATTCTTAGACCATGCGAGATTGCACACCTGTCACGTAAAACGAAGAAGGTTTATGTATTCCTACTAGGTTCTTCAATCATACATCCAAACCTCAGGATCAAGAAGGTATAACGAGATTAAGACAAATCTTGATAGTAGACACTTGAACAACAACCTCAGTGGTATAATTTTGATGAAACCAGACAGCATATATGCCAGATTGGGAGCAATATAATTACAAGAACATCCAGCCTAATAATATTACTATTAGCAAGAAGTCAACAATCGAGAAAAATTATTAATTTATGCCGGCATTTGATCTGCATTTCAAACAGATAATTTTTTTAATTACTTCAGGTGGAGCTTGGCATTAAAAGATTCCTTCTAACCCATGCTTGAATTACAGAAGCAAAGAGGAAACTTAATTACCTGACTTCCAGTGTCCATGCAGCTTAAATGTGTATTGGTCGTTGTGTTCCAAAAACGAATGCATCGGTCTGCAGTTCCGCCCCCTGATGCCAGTAGTCCATGAAGATGAGGAGACCATGCTATAGCTTTTACAGCAGCTGTGTGCTCATAAAATTTAAGTACTGGTTGGGTTGAATGTTGATTCCAAACGAATAACTGAAAGCAGATAATAACGAATATCAGTCATCGTGGCAGGAGAGAAAAAAAAGCTGCGACGAAAGATGGAAGGAAACAGTATAGCATACTCTGTTATCGTTTCCGCCTGATGCTAATTCACGGTTATCGTACGACCATTTCAATCCACAAACCTACAATAGAACAGTTGCAATCTCTGGCTGAGAAACAGGTTAAAGAAAACAACAAGAGAAATGCAGATTGCCCCTAAGAAGAAATCATTCAAGCAGTAAGAGTAAATACAAACTCATGTCCAAATGATTCAATGGGAAACATAAGACCCTGTAATTAAGTGTAAGCCAGGAGGAAAATAACATGTCTGTAAGCCTCACCTCTGATTTATGGCCAGATAGTTTAGAAGTAAAATCATCCTGAGCTCGAATATCTCGTTGAAGGATACTTTTATCCCGGCTACCGGATGATAAAAGAGACGAGCTCCAAGCTAAGGCCCCAACTCGTAACCGATGACCCTCCATGGTCCTAACCCTTTTACAGCGTGATGCATCCCAAATCTAGAGAGATGATCATTAGGGCAGGGGTTAATCAACACTGGAAGCAGGCACATAATCATATCCATCGGAATCTCAGTTATGCAAATCTCAAGAAATTAAACTTCCACAAGAGCTGAAGGAAAAAAAAAAAAAAAACATACACACACACATTGAAGTTCATATGCAAGAACATACATAGAGTTAAACTAATCACCACTAACCTGGACTTTTCCATTGCTAGTGCCAACAGCAAGATGAGTTCCACGCTGTGCCCAGCCCACTGAACACACACTGTCATCAATTCCCAAGTCACATAACTTGGTGACCTGCAAATAGAATGGTTCTTAATAACTAGACATCCATAAGCTACATAGATTTAGACATACAATGAAGCAACTCAAGAGGCTCGAGATCAGGTCATAACAGATCGATCAACGCACAGAGATGAAAGAAAAATCAAAGGGCAGACAGAGGATTACCTTACTACTGCACGCATTCCAGAGATAAACACAATTACCCAACCCAACAGCAAGCACATTATGCGAAGACCAATCAACAAGATTCAGATAAAAATCATCTTGAAGAGCAGGTGCATCCAAGACCTAACAATGCAGATAAGGAAAAAAAGATGGTTAGAGAATCCAAAGACCAATAATCCCGAAATCATCGTAAGAAATTCACCTTATAAGGCGATCGTGGAACCTTCCGTGGAGTCTTAACAGGGCTAGGACTAAGCCCACGAGCCGCATCATCAAACCCAAAAGGCGAAAGGGAGTGCATTGACCTCCTAGTCTCGGTTTTATAGCGAAAAATATTATGATTAGGAAGGCACATTGGGGAGCTTCTCTTCTCAGGAGTAGCAGGAGGAACTACTCCAGAATCAGGGCCAAACAAAGCCGTTCGAAGAAGCGTAGCATAAGCAGTAGAAGTATCTTCGCGACCATCGGAAGCGGAATTTGAGACAGGGGAAATATCAAATAGGGCAAAATTGGAACCAGATCTACTTGGTATGAACCTATCAGAGTAGATAGCTCTGGATGGAGACAAATGGTGATTGATATTGATCATACGGCCAATTTGGCGAGATGGAGTTAGGGTTTCAAGTGAGTGAGCAGCCCTAGACATTGAAGGAGGCAAATTGAGCTGCAAATTGGAGGAGGAAGAGGAAGAAGAAGAAGGTGAAGCCCTGGCAGATGATTGAGGGGTCCGGGCTTGATCTTCCATTGGAGAATCAATGGAAGAGATCTGGATGAAATTGAGGGAAGAGAGAGAAAGACAGTGATGAGAGAGAGAAAGGGAATAAGGAAGCATATGAAAAGGAGAAGGGGGCTTGTAATAGACAGAGACGGAGAGAGAATTTTGACAGCCTAAGAGAGAGAAACAAGGAGTTCCCGGCAAATCTTAGGTAAAAACTATAACTTTTTTCCCGGCAAATCTATGACTCTATTGCCCTCCACTGGATCTTACTGTTTCATTGGGCCGCCTCAGGCCCAGCCCAACTCTACCTCCTTTCATTACTATTTAATAATGCACAATATTAATTACTACATCTTATTTAATATTTAATTATGATTCTTTAATTTCCATTTACTCTTATTTATATCCCTCATAAATTCTCCATCATGGTTGGTCAATTTACAGAAAATATTTATAATAATCCCACCTCTCTATTTTAATTAAAAATATCATTATAAATTTTTTTTCCGATGGTAAGGATAAAAATGACTTTTCACTCCGTTGCTTTTTATCTTTTATACTCTATTTATTTTTTTAGATTTTTTAAAATAATTACATTCTAATTTTCTTTTTATAGAATTTTGGAAGGGAATAACCTTTTAAAAAGATTTTGAATTAATTTAAATGAAATTAGGTGTGTCTAAATGATTAAATTTTATAATTTAAATTCAACAACTATTTTTACCTAATATATAATTTATTAACTATTTTAATTTTTGTAGGTCCAGATGGTAAGTTTGCATTTATTTTAGTAAGTAACAATTTTATTTTTAGAATATTATAATTATATTAAATTCAACTGTGAGTTATCTTATAATAATAATAATAATAAAGCGTAGTTTATTTTTTCCTTAAATTTAATTTTATTATTATTTTATTAAAAAGTTATTCTTTTTTCAAATTGTTCATTTAAAATTTCTTTTCATTTTTTTAGATTCTCAAACTTACCTTTTATGTAATAAATATTCTCCTTTCCATAAAAGTTATTAAATAGGCTAACAAAAAAAATATAGATTTTGACATAATTATTTTATCGATATATTTAAATGCAACTCGAGTGTTATTAGTAAAATCTGATTTAATAATAAATTCTATTTATTTCAATTAAACAATAATGGGATAAAACATCTCTCTTACAAAACAATAAAATCTCAAATATCTTTGGAAGAAAATTGAGGAAAAAAATTGGAAATGTTGTGGAGAGTATAATTAGGGTTGATTTATAGATTAAAAGGTAATAAATTGCCCAGCCCATATAACCAGGCCCATATTTACAGGCCCAAATTTACGGCCTAAATTTACGGCCCAAATAATCCTAATCTTATTCCGCCCTTCCTATTTTTGTTTATTTCTCATATATTTTTATATATTTTAAAAAATGAAAAGTTATTTAGTTAGGTAGGTATGCTTACTAATCATGTTTTGGTGGTCGAGATACGTGGTATAGTAGCGAGTTGACTTATATATGATTATAAACCTTTCTATGATATGTTCGAATTTTATTTAAAATTTTGGAATGATAAACATTCAACAATATGTGAAGGTGAGATATTCTAATATATGATCCCTCATTCGGAGTGATGTACTCTAATTAGTTCAATGCTCCAGTTGAAAATTTTATACGGTTGAGTTATATACCATACGTAGGCTCGTCTTATTCAACCGACCCTTCAATGAAATGCTCATTTGGGCCTTGGAGTTAACCATTGGGTTGAGCCAATGCGAGGATTTTTAAGGTATTCTTAACTTTAGGGAGGTAGTTGGGTTTTGCGGTTAGTAAATGTTTCTAAAATCAAGTTTTTATTTATTAATTTTTTTTCTTACTCGAGAGAAAGTGTGAGATCTCACATTAATTAGAGATGGGAACGACATTGATTGGAGAGGAGAATGGGTGCTAGTGAGAACGTTGGGCTCTGAAGAGGGATGAGATAGATTGTGAGATCCCACATCGGTCAAAGGGGAGAACTAAACATTTTTCATCGAAAACCTCCTCCTATCAAATGCATTTTAAAAACCTTGAGGGGAAGTTCATAAGGGAAAGTCCAAAATGAAAATATTTGTAAGCTGTGACTTGGGCTCTCGGTAATTTTTATCTTAGTCATCCTATTATCAAGATGACTCTCATTTAGATGTGATACCATTTCTTTACTCGACGTTTATGATCTTTCTATACATGTTTGTTTCTCTTCCTCCTTGGCTCTTCTTATCATCACCACTTTTGTTTCATTTTCCTCTGGCTTTTCCTGTGTATTATCCGAAATAGTCAATTCTGTGTTTTTCGATATCCAAGGTCTAAAAAGCGTTTTTATTATTCCGGGAATATCAAAAGAAGACAAAACATCTTTGGCTTGTCTGTAAAAGAAAAGATAAGAACCTACAGTTGCTTGAAGTTGTTTGCAAATACCTGTTTTACGTCTTTGACAACGCATAGAGTCTTTAATTATGTCTCGACGAAAATCCGATAGTTGGAAATACCGTAGCAAAACAATTTCGTCTGATGATTCGTCCGATGTTATTTAATTTAATTTATTTTATTTTAGATTTCTTTTTTTCACATCTTCTCAAAGTTTTTAAAATGCGTCGGGTAGGAAAAAGTTTTTACACATTTATAAAGAATACTTCGTTTCCCTCTCCAATCGATGCAGAATCTCGCAATCTACCACATTCGGGGCTAGCGTTCTTGATGACACTCGTTCCCTTCTCCAATCAATATAGTAGCTCACAATCCACTATTGATGTGAGATTCCATAATCCACCCCTTCAGGGCTCAACGTCCTCACTAACATTCATTCTTCTCTCCAATCAATGTAGGATCTCACAATCCACCCCCTTCGAAGTCCAACGTCCTTACTCGCACTTGTTCCTCTCTTCAATTGATGTAGGATCTCACAATCCACCATTTTTCAAGGCCCATCGTTCTCGCTAGCACTAGTTCCTCTCTTCAATCGATGTGAGATCTCACAATCCACCCCCTTCGGGACTAGTGTTCTCGTTGGCACTCTTTCTCCTCTCCAATCGATGTGGGATCTCATAATCCACTATCGATGTGAGATCTCGTGACCAATTAAGTAAGACCCACAAGCCAATTGAATTGGAAAACATGTAAGATAAAGAGAGTATTGCATAACCCTAGCACGCCTTAGCCTCTTTTTGAAGCTTTTTTTTTTTTTTTTTGGCTTGAAGAAGCATCATTATCATCTTTCACACTCCTAAATCATTCCAATTTCCTTACATTTGGACTCCATCCTTCAAATCTCTAACCCTTTTCAAAATGCTTAAACTACAAGAATTTATCATTGTTGTTATCCGTAAAGCTACCGACATACCAAACCATACCAAACTAATTTAACTAAAATGTTATACGATGAACATATTAGTCTTCTTTTCACTATATGGTATAGTAATATAAGAGCGAAGATTCAAGCTTTAAGACTTTAGGGAAGGTTAGGTTAACGAGGTTAAAAAAAGTTCAATAGAAATTAATATTTAACTGAGATGTTATATCATTAATTGGGTTAAAAGTTCCAATTTCTGCTCACAGGTTGACCTATTGTGAGATCCCACATTGGTTGGGGAGGGGAACGAAACATTTGTTATAATAAGGGTGTAGAAACCTCTTCTTAATAGACGTGTTTTAAAGCCTTAAGACTAACGCGATATGTAACAGGCCAAAGTGGAAAATATCGGCTAGTGGTGAACTTGTGTTGTTACAAATGGGCTCTGGGCAGTGTGCATAAGGGTGTAGAAACCTCTCCTTAATAGACGTGTTTTAAAGCCGTAAGACTAACGCGATATGTAACAGGCCAAAGTGGAAAATATCGGCTAGTGGTGAACTTGTGTTGTTACAAATGGGCTCTGGGCGGTGTGTATAAGGGTGTAGAAATCTCTCACTAGTAGATACGACTGTAAGGCTGACAACAATATGAAACGGGCCAAATAGGTTTGTTTATTTACATCTCGATCAGTTTCCTCTTTCGTTTCTTCTTTCTCATTTGTTTCGATCTATGAGCTACCACTTTCTTATTCTCTCTTCAATACCCTCTACTCTCCTTCCATTTCTCAATCTTTATTAGAACTTTTTCCTTTCTTTGGTGAACACTTTACATTTGTCCTTTGATTGTGGTTGGATTCAGTTGCCGATTAACTCTCGAGGTAAACGAAAGACAAAAGGAATTGGAAAGGCTAAAGAGTCGCTTACAAAAGAAGGTAGTCTTCTTCAGGTTCGTAAGTGGGGAAGGCACAGTGAAGATCTTCAGCTCGGAGGAAACTCCCCGAAAAAGGGTTGTCAGATCCTCTTGTGCTACCTAGATAAGAACGCCTTCGGTAATATTTTCGTGAAGCGGAAAGATTGTAGAAGAAAGGCAACTTTTCCTTCCCTTTTCTATTCCTTAATCTCACTCTCATAACTCTCCCAAATTGAAAGGAAGAATGGGTTTCTTCTTCTTCTTCTTCTTCTTCTTCCCTCTGATTCTCACCATAACTTCATCGGCCTCATCAATGGCGTCCCTCAAAACTCAACCCCACAAACTCCAATCGACCCATCTTCTTGATCTCTACATTAGAGATTTAACATTGAAGTCCCTCGACAATACAATCAAAACAGGGGCACTTCACCCCGTCCCATTACAGGAAAATTTAACAGGCATCACCGTCGACACGGCCAGTTCCGATGCGGCAGTTTACGGCGGTACGGGGCGTCGGTAAGAGAATTCCATCTGGGTGTCGGTGTTTCTCTGAACCCATGTGCAGAGAGAATCGTAATCATCCGGCAAAATTTGGGCTCCAATTGGTCTCCGATTTACTTCAACAACTACCATTTAATTGGGTACCAATTAGTCTCTTCAATTTTGGGGCTTTTGGCTTACAACCCTGGAAATTACACTAACACTTCAAGCTCCCCTGTTCCATTTGAGGTCGGAATTTCCACCGGAGAAAAACCCATTACCATAGATTTCCGGAATTCAACGAGAACGGGAAATGTTTCGGGAATCAGGCCGATTTGTGCGAGGTTTGAAAGGGATGGGAGAGTTACATTGGCGAAGGAAATTTCGCCGTTGGTTTGCTCTGCTTTGAGACAGGGGCATTTTGGGTTGGTGGAGGAGGCAGAGCCGGTTGAACTGAGGAAGAAGGAACGGCCGTGGAAGGTGGCCGTCGGAAGCTCGATTGGGGCGGCGATTGGAGCGTTTCTTTTGGGGCTGCTTTTGGTGGCAATGTTTGTGAGAGTGAAACAGAGGACGGAAATGGAAGAGATGGAAATTAGGGCTTATGAAGAGGAAGCTTTGCAGGTTTCGATGGTTGGACATGTCAGAGCTCCGACAGCTCCGGGGGCTCGAACTTTGCCGTCGATTGAAAATGAGTACATGCCTCCATCTAGTCGTCGTTGAAATTTGAGAATGTAATGTTTATTCAGTTTTAGACCTATATTCTTTATTAAACTTCATTCGTTTTTTATGGGAGGAGTGAGCTGCTGGAACAAATCTAGTTGAAAATTGTTGGGAGAGTACTCACACTCGGACTAATTAAAGGGTCGATCATGAATTTATAAGTAAGAAATACGTCTTCGTTAGTTCGAGATATGTTGGAAAAACAAAAAACAAAGCCATGAGAGCTTATATTCAGGATAGACAATATTATACCATTGTGAAGGTATGTGATTCCTAACATGGTATCAGAACCATGCCCTTAAATTAGTCATGCTAATCGAATTCTTTAGTGTCGAACAAAGAAGTTGCTAGCCTCAAAAGTGTAGTCAAAAGTGACTCAACTGTCGAACAAAGTGTGTACTTTATTCAAGTGTTTTAGAGAAGGAGGTGAGCCTGGGGAGACTATTCTAGGGCTCCACATGGTTTCTAACATGGTATCAGAACCATGCCCTTAACTTAGTCATGTTAATCAAATTCTCATGTGTCAAACAAAGAAATTTCTAGCCTCATAAGTGTAGTCAAAAGTGACTCAAATCGAACAAATGATGTATTTTGTTCAAGGGCTTCAGAGAAGAAGTCAAGTCTCGATTAAGAAAAGACTGTTCGAGGGCTTCACATGCCTCAAGGGAGACTCTATGGTCAACAATATAGTCAAAAGTGACTCAACTATCGAACAAACAAAATGTGTACTTTGTTTGAGGGCTCTAGAGAAGGGGTCGAGTCTCGATTAAGAGGAAGTTGTTTGAGGGCTCCATATAATTTTAGGGAGGCTCTATGGTATAATTTGTTCGAGGAAAGAATCACATCGGCTAATTAAGAGGGTTGCATCATGAGTTTATGAGTAACAAATATCTCATTTTAGTTCAAAAGGTATGATAGCACTCAAAATGGACAATTATAAGACCTGATACGAAGAACAAACTCACCCAAGTTTAGATTTGATGTAAACAACGTTGTATAATTACGAAAACAAATATAGAGACATGTCAATATCAACTACAAGAAAGAGAGTTTCAGTACAAAACACCAACTTAAAGGCGGCCTCTTTCATGTTCGGAAGCTGATAATTCTTCCATAAACAAACAATCAAACAGCTCATCAAAGCAAAAACCAAAGAGCTAGAAACTGAATCCTCTTCAAACAAGTCAACGGAAGTTGAAATTGGTATTATAAGTCAACCCAACTTGCCAATTTGAAGGAATGACATTCCATAAAGTAAGGGTCTCTCTTGTTGTGTAGGAAGTGATTCTGAATGAGAGGCCTTGGCCACCCAATGATGAAAAAGCTTGGTATGAAGCTCCCCAGTTATGGCTCATTGTTATCCACCCCGTTTTGCTTCCTTTCACCGCCATTGAGTACACATCGCCGCCGCCGCCAACGTTCATCACGTACACCAATAACCAATACCCATTTCCTTGGAAGCTGAATCGAATGCCGCCTTTTTTCGCACACGGAACCCTACATCATGCAACAGCGTTCGCGTCATTAGAAATCACATGGAACCTTCCATAATAGTATGATATTGTCCACTTTAAGCATAATCTCTTATGGATTTACTTTACTTTGTTCGTGGGTGTTGTGGCAACTCACCTGCGGTACGCAACAGGGACTATTCCGGCCTTCCACCAAGCGATCTTCATGAACGCTGGCTTGGCCATGTCGAAGTGAACTCTTGGTGGGTTGCACCACCCGCCCGCGTTCGAGTCCTGTGACCAATTTGGCGGGCATAGGTTTGTCGCTGTCACGGTGGTGTATGGTACGTTCGCGTAGCATGCTTTCGACTGCACGCATTTGATTTGAAAGCATGTCCCACAAGCGTAGCCATTGTTGAACAATGTCGAGCTCAATGCCACAGTGTCGGTTCCATAACCATTCGTAAACAAGTTTCCATACCCACAAGCTCCTCCTGCAAAAAGAAAACAACGAACTAAATCAAGTTCATCTGACGTAGTAGCTACAATGGGAGATTAAGAATTCGGGAGTGTAACTTCTTCTACACGAACCCATTAGTGAGATGGGCAGACATAGAATAGGTCAAGGACAACTTTTTTGTAAGATGACATGATGTTAAAAGAAAAAAAAATCACGTATCTCGTAGTGTAGTTAATTGCTTATATACGTACGAATAAAATGAGATTGAAAGCTATGATGATGATTGCATACCCATGGTGGCGGAGGCAGTTTCGTCGCCATAAAAGGTGGCATGAGCGAGCTTCCACGAGCTTGGTTTGAACACGGCGAGTGTTGGTCTGGTGAAGATGGCGAAAACCAATGGCAGGAAGAAGAAATTGAAGCCTAAAGAAGAAGCCATTTCTTGCCCATTGACCTGGAACTCGCAGGCCCTTTATATATTCTAAGCCAGGACCAAAGGGAAGTGTACCTTCGTGACCCTCACGAAGATTTTTGTGTGTACTTTATGAAGTCAATTCATATTATAAATGAAAAATTAATAAAATTAAAAAAAGGTTTTTAATTAGAGACGTGGGAGATTGGGAATGGAGCATGAATTTTGAGACAAATAAAATAAAATAAAATAAAATAAAATAAAATAAAACAAAATTAAAAGTATAATTAGTGGAAAATAACCTCAAATTTTGGGTTCAACGTGCTTGCAGGTTTCATCTCCATATAAAGTCTGCCACCCACTTAGCCTTTTATATATATATTGATTGGATTGAAGCTTAAATATAAAGAACAGGTGAAATTAATGATATTAATTAGTTTTTCTCTACCAATAATTGTAATATTCATAAAATAAATAAGCTTCAAACAATTTCTGAAAAGTAACATTTATGCATTTTTGATATAAACAAAAACGACACGGATTCGATGGTACAATCAGGAATCGAAGTGGACCTAAAATGTTCTAGCAAACAAAAAGGGCACATTTCAATGGTGATGGTTATTCTCTTCGTATGCTTATGATTCTCCCCTTTTCTAACTACTTGCTTATACTCTCAACGACTTTCATGCTAAATCATTAATAAACTAAAAATCCTAAGTTGATGGTTAGAAGATACTAACGGATAACGATCATGGTGTTTCATAGGTTTCAATTGGATCTATTACACGATCCAAAGCCTTAATTTCAACAAGTGTTCATTTTTTATCTACAAAATTAAAAAAATTTGGTTCAACCTCCATTCTTGTGTTACAAGCTTACTCGAGTGAGAAATGACTATTTGGAGACTTCTAGGGTTGTGGAGAATTACCACATTTGCCAATCATACCATAACTTCTTGTAATGGATATTTGAAAGGACAGTGGTAAGTTATCAAACTTCGACAATTGTGACCACAACTTTTTCTCGTGGGCATTTGAAGGGGTGAAGTTTTGTTTTGGGAAGATGTTATAAATACACACAAATTTAATACTTAAAAATAACATTTGTATTCATATAATAAAAAACCCACCAATATAGGATGAATTAGGTAAGTGAAAGGAAGCGAAACGACAGAGTAAACTTAGCAACAAGTACAATGAACAATATTATACAAAACCATTCATGGCCCACTTCAATTTCAGACAACATTTAATTTCACAAAACATTCGTACTACAAAAATCAAACAAAAAAACAAAACATGACGAAATTATTAAAAAAAATACGACCATTTTCTATTCTAAAGGTAAATATTCTAAATTGATTAACTGATGTCGAAGCTCAAACACATCGATGCTTGGATAGCAGCCGTCATTTTCAACAACTTGGCATTCAATGGTATGAAGGTACCTCTCATTTACTTTAGTCGTAATGCAACTCATAATTTCAAGTCCTTCGGCAATTAAAACTTGAAGAATGTCGGAGACAGGGAGTCTATGTTGGATGGCTGTGTCTAAAACAACTTGAATTCCTAATCCATTTGTCGAACTCACCACCACTGAATCCCTCCGTGAGGAATTAAGCGTTTCCACTGCACCGACGGGCATATTCTCGCCGGAGAGGCTTTTCAGCTCGTCTCTTTGATTAGACAGTTGCTGGATTCTTGTCTGAATAGATTGAATGTACTTAACCGTTTCATGCATGTGGTCGGATATAGAGCGCTTTCCCTACGACAAAAGAATGTTAATTTGTGAAAAAGAAGATAACCCATCGAAGAAAATGGTACCTTGAGGTATTCAAGAGGGAGAAGTGAGCGAAGAGAGGAGTAAAGAGAGGACATTTCCTGTCTCCTTTGGCGCTCCACATCTCTATGCATAATCTTCTTCCTCTTTTGTTCGTTGGGGTTCTCGTCGTTGGAAGTGTTGGGCGGCGGCTGTCTCCGGCTGCATGTTTTGGGCTTTTTGGACGCAATGTTCGTATTCTCTAAGGGAGAGATGGGGGGGAGAGGGAATAGTTCATCTCCAAACTCAAATGAAAATGGGGATTCAATATTGAATTCCATTTTTTTTTTTTGAAGAGAGGACTTGTAAAAATCTATTTATAACGAGATGTTTTCATAGATGAAAATTTGGAGGTATACTTTGTTAATAGTATGAATAATTTACCGGGCTAGCGCATTGATGACCCAAGCATACGTGCGCTAGCTCAATAGATTCACTAGAAGTGTTTGTACACATACCACTAGGATTGGTTCATTGGGCTAGCGCACGTTCATGCTGCTAAACAATCATATAATATCATGACGGACGTAAATATTATAAGGTAAGCGTTTATACTAATCATAATAGAGAAGTATTCAGATGCATATAACACATGTAAATGCATGAGGTCTCCATAGCTTAAAATCATGACATATGTTTAAGATACAAATCGTACCTCATTTCATTTATGACATAGCGTGCACATGAATCATGCATGCATAATATTAATCATATCTTTCATAAAATGCATCCAAATTAAATTTAGAAAATGATGCTTTATGTTCCAACATTTATGAAACACACGACTAAATTAGTTACTAAGCTCATACATTCTATGTTAGATTAATCGTAATCGGGTTCGAATCACCTAATCTATTTACAGATAGTCTCATTATAGTAATACTAATTAGGGTTACATCATAATTAGCTCGATCGCATATGCAGAATCTCCATGGTTAAAATATATAGCTCATATTAGGCTTAATCGGATTAGCTCAAGTTAACTCAACTCAACTAGACAGAACTAGTTTCGGTCCAATTGAAATCGGTATGTGCCTTCGTAAACTAGTTTGATCCTAATTCTCGAGGTTTGATAATTCTACCTTTTATGAAAAAACCTAATATACTATAACGAATATTGTTGAGCAGCACAAACAATCTCTTAGACAAATCTCTTTCACCTTTTTTCATTGGCTCAATTTTGTCATGTGTTCTTGGGACTTGTCCTCCTAAGCTGTTTGGTTTTATTTCTGTCCAAAAAAACAACGAAATGATTGTTTTGTCGTTTTAAAATAATTTCAGCCTTATCATCGTTACAGTAAAGCATCCATTTTTGATGCTATGTGTTTGGTCTATAGCTATTATTATTTTTAAAACCACTTGCATATTATTATTTTTGCTATTATTATTATTATTATTATTTTATCTCAAATCTTAAACATTTAAATTCACTTTAGCTTTTGTTTCCATCGTAATAAGAGCTTGATCGATACGAACACCAACCATGGTAGTTCAAAGTGTATTTCACATCATTTCGTTAGAGTTGATGGATAACCATCTTACGAACGATAACAGTTCACATTGGTCAATTACGTACCCGTCTTACGATTTTAAAACACGTCAGCTAGAGACAGTTTTTCACATTCTTTTCGTACTCCTCTACAATCGATGTGGGATTTCACAATATAATTTCTTCCTACTTTAATTTCTAACTATAATTTTATAATCATTGGCGAGTTGTAATAAAAATTTAAAAATTGTGTTGATTTTTCCAAGTTTGAATAAAATTAAATTATTAGCTTAAAAGTGAAGGAAAGATTATACCTATTTTGAAGAACAGAGAATGTGGCCAACGAACATGTGATAAAATAGACCCACTCAAATATACGAATCTTTCATACATTTAATAATGGATCCCACATAACGCTACAAATATATGATAATAATTTTGTTGTTCCTAATTTTGCTTATGGTTTAGTTTGGCTTTCATGTACGGATTTTTTGGAGTATTGGAGGATGTAACGTCCTCTTTGGTCACATCATGACATTTGTTTGTCTCGACTCTCGTGCATCTGGATGAACGCCAATTGTGTGTTGTCTCCTTATCACATAAGGGTCACAATCTACTCTTTTCATAATATAATTGTGGCATTGGATGCCACTCGTGTCTGTTTTTTCATTTGCTTAGTAGAATGATTAGCGCTCAAATCTTTCACGTTACCGAATGATTAGTGTTATATAATCTTCAATAATCCTGCTTTACACAAAAAACTTTGGCATGCCTCTAGTTTGAGCTTGTCACGTGTCTGGGTTAGTTGTGCACTGATATGATTACTTAGACACATGGAATTTCTATGTTTATCGAAGGGAGTTCATTTCTCCTTTCGACCCATCAATAATTTCTTCAAAGTTTTTCAGCGTTCATCACACATACTTGAAATTTCAATCAATCTCATTCTAGTTATGCTTTTTTTTAATTACACTTAAGCAAACAATAGTAAAATTAAAGCGTTCAAATAACGTGTTATTTTACATTTATCAACATGCAATTGATTTCTGTTTTCAAATTATATCTTACAAATTAAATAGGAGAATAGATAAGGTAAAATTATATCTTATACACAAATTACTTAGTTATTACATTTTCTTAAAGAGTAACGCGTTAGTCTCTACGACCTAACAATTCTCTCACTTGGAGACTAACTAGTCAATCTAAAATTCATTCTCGAAAGATTCTGTCATTATAATATTTTCACTCTAGCGCAACATCTAACCAATCAAGTTTTTGCACAACCTCAATTTTCCAACATATGATAGACTCAATTCTTCAACAACGGTATGATACTCCTATCTGTATAAAGAATCTTCTCGCATTTCTTTTTACCTAACTCTTATAGATAGTCGTCATTCATATCATCTTCTTTCCAGTTTCAACTCTTATCATGTACTTAGCCTCAGTAGATGAAAGAACAACATAGTTCTAAAGACTAGACATCTATCTCACCGATGTTTCATCTATAGTGTAGATATATCCGGATGTGTTCTTGTTAGAGTCTACATCTCCACTAAGATCATCATCTACAAAACCATGCAGAACTAGTTTGTCATTGCCATAACAAAATAGAGTGTAGTAGATGTACCTCTTAGATATCTCAAAAGTCACTTCACAGTTCTTAATATTATTCCCTTGGGTTTGTCATGTACCTACTTATAGCCACTTTATAGCTTCCCAATATTATTCCCTTAGGTTTGTCATGTACCTACAAACAATTGCACGTACTATATCATGTCTAGTGCAAACCATAATATACATCAATCTCCCAATTGCAAAAGTGTATGAAGCTAATGCCATGTGTTCATGCTCCTAACCTGTCTTGGAGGTTGCCCTTTTGACAATTTAACATGACCCGCCAAAAGGGTAATTCTAGGTTTAGGTTCAATCATCCTAAATTTGGACAACACATTCTCAATGTATTGTTTCTCATATAGATTTAATGTGTTAGCAGGTTTATCTCGAGAAATGTTCATCCTAAAAATCTACTTTACTGCATCCAAATCTTTCACCTACTAAAGAAATCTTTGCTTTCAAATTGTTTATTGTTTATCTCCCTCGCAATGGATCTTGTAATCAATATATCATCCACGTATCAGAGTATAAATACATAAGAATCAATGTTTTCTTTTTTTTTTTAAGTAAAAGGACTCAACCATTAAGAATCAATGTATTTTTTAAAGTAATAGCACGGATCCTTTTCAACCATGTGAAAACCGCTCTTACTCATGAAGGAGTCAAAAGTCTCTAATAAGGTAAAAAACAGTTTCGGGAGGGTTGGAAATGTATAAAATGGTATAAAAAAATGCATATTGAGCCGAAGTGAGCTGCGGTTTGGGGTGGAAGCATGCGTCCTGCATGTGCGGTAGCTAGGAAACACGTGCGGTCACCACTTGAGTCAAGGTGTGGACTTCAGATCGGGAATACAGAGTTTAGGGGTCGCATGTCCCTCCGCTTTTGCTAAGTTCCTGGGTCGAGCAGGACGCACGTTTGACCGTGATTGGTATTTCTTGGGTTATTCGACTCGAATCTAAATCCAAACAATTTGACTCACAGACTTCGTCTTCTTGACCCGATTTCCAGAAGTTTTCCAACCCTTTCACTTTCTTCTCAAATCTGTCCCTCCGACGACACCCACATGGTTCTATCCGCCACTTGGGTTCGATTTGTTTTCTCATTCCACTACTTGTGACGATGTGGGATCTCACAATCCACCTCATTTGAGGACCATCGTTCTCACGGGCACTCATTCCCTTCTCCAATCAATGTGGGACCCTCCACTCTACCCCTTTGGAACCCAACATTCTTGTTGGCACACTGCCTCGTGTCCACCCTTTTTGGAGTCCAGCATCCTTACTAGCACACTGCCTCGTATCCACCCCATTTAGAGTCCAGCATCCTTTCTGGCACAACGCCTGGTGTCCACCCCATTTGGAGCCCAGCATCCTTGTTGGCACACCGCCTCGTGTCCACCCCCTTTGGGGCTTAGCCTTCTCACTAGCACATCGCCTAGTGTCATACTCTAATCCCATTTGTAACGGTCCAAGCCTACCACTAGTAGATATTGTCTTCTTTAGGCTTTCCCTTTCGAGTTTTCCGGTAAGATTTCTAAAACGCGTCTTCTAGGCAAAAGTTTCTACACGCTTCTTATTGTTTTCCTCTCCCAATCAATATAAAATCTCACCCCCAAAAGCCTCTAAAATCTCTTATTCAGCTAAAATAGAGAAGGGGGAGTGGTTCCAATTTCAATTACATTTTGGCTGAATTTTCTCATTTGTTCTTCAGAATCATACTCCTCAACTGTTTTGTTTTATTCCTGTCCAAAAAGACCACGAAAATGATATTTTGTGGTTTTTTTAAAAGAATGTCAGCCTTACGATTGTTACCCAAACAAAAGCCTCCATTTTTGATCGAAAGGTCCAGAAAAAATGTGAAGTCACGTGTATGGCTATTATTATTTTATTGTTTTTGTTTGGAATATGTAGTAAAATGGTAGACCCATTCAAACATAAGAATCTATGATACATATAATAATGGATCCCGTGTCTGTGGCTAACATATCAGCTCGAGAGGTATCCATAATTTCATAGTGATCATACCAACTTATCCTGCACCATATGATAAAGGTAGTGAAAGAAATCAAGACAGTTTGTCTTTAGAAGACAAGTCGAAAAGCATCCATTCCCATTCTCGTCTACAAAATTCTTGCTTCCTAGGTTCTCAAATCTTCCACGTCCTATCACTGTTGCTCGGGTTTCTAGTAATGCTTAAGCTTATACTTAAGCTATATGTTCCTATGTGTCGATACATAGCCTAAATCGAATGGTATAACGTATTGAAATACTTGTAAAAGTTAGGTTGGGTTAGTTTTCTTTGATCAAGTCAACCTGACCAAAGCAAAAATAGGGTGACAATTCAACCTTGCTCTACTTTTTACAAAAATCAAGAATAACTAACCTTTGTAACCAATGTGCTATGACTTTATTCGGGTAGATCAATTGAGTCTTTCCAATATACTTTTTTTTTCACTCACATGCATCCCAATAAAATTTCTACGAGGTCACCCGACATAAAATTACTCCAAGTAAAACACGCTTAACTCTTAACCATGAAGTTCCAATGACTAAACCACGAAAAAGAAATGTGTATTTTGTTGGTATAAGTAGTGATTTTCAATTCTTTTTTAAGTCTTTTTTAGCCATCATATCCTCAAGGTTGTTCTAATTCGAATGTGATCTCTATTCATTCATGTATTCCTCCTTTACTTTTGTGTCATATGTTTACAAGTTTCCGCTTTGGTTTATCCCCAAACTACATCTTACTGGGAGATGCACTACTTTGATACCATATGTAACGACCCATATCTAGGATTTGAAATATGGATTTGGCACATGATGGCTCCGACATTCTCCTATCCCCTGTGACATGGTCAGGTTACCCACTAATCGCTTCTTAATAGTGAAAACTATCCCCACAGACCAACACGAGTCATTCCAACATGTTTTTTTCTCACTCACATGCATTCCAAAAAAATTTATAAGAGAACACCCAACATAGAATTGTTCCAAGTAAAACACATTTAACCATGAAATTCCTATGATTGAGCCACCAAAAAAAATGTGCACCTTGTTGACACAGGTAGTGACTTTCAATTATTTTAATTCTTTCATAGTCATCCTATCTTTAAGATTACTCTCATATTTCAGATCATTTATATATCCCTCCTTTACTTAAGTGTCACGTAAAATGGGTCAACTAGAACTCCAAATTCCCATGTACCAAGATTTTGAGAGTACATGCATTTCATTAAGTCGACATGTTAAGTATTGTTTGAGGATTCGAGCGTTGAATGTGATGTAGAAAATCAGGAATGGAAGGATATAAACATCAAATCAGTCTACACCATGTTAGGATTTGCTGATGCTGAAGTCTAATACTTTGTTCTACATTCAATAATCGGTCCCTCATATACATGTTGTGTTCACATAAATAGTTTATGAACATCAAATCAGGAGGGAAATGGGCATAGATGATACTCATTGATAACTTGGTAGCTCCCACAAAGCCACACTCACTTGACATAGGGAACTTAGCCACCAGTGTACAACGAAACAACATTATACAAAGCCATTAAAACAATAACATCAGAATTTTAGAAAACATATCTCAACATTCACACAAAAACCTTTATGCCAATGAAGAAATTATTCAAAAAACACCATATTCAATAATTTTTCTAATCTAAAGGAACATATTCTAAATTGGTTAACTTATCTTGAAGCTTGGACACATCGATGCTTGGATAGCAGCCATCATTGTCAACAACTTGACATTCAATAGTATGAAGGTACCTTTCATTTACTTTGGTTGTAATGCAACTCAGAATTTCAAGCCCTTCGACGGCTAAAACTCGAAGAATGTCAGAGACAGGGAGCCTATGTTGGGTGGCTGTGTCTAAAACAACTTGAATTCCTAATCCATTTTTCGACCTCACCACCACCGAATCCCTCCGTGAGGAAATAAGCGTCTCCACCGTACCAACGGCCATATTTTCGTCGGAGAGGCTTTTCAGCTCGTCTCTTTGATCAGATAGTTGCTGGATTCTTGTCTGAATATATTGAATGTACTTAACAGTTTCATGCATGTGGTCGGATATGGAGCGCTTTCCCTATGACAAAAGAATGTTAATTTGTGAAAAAGATCATAACCCATTGAAGAAAATGGTACCTTGAATACCCTCAAGAGGGAGAAGAGAGCGAAGAGAGGAGTAAAGAGAGGACATTTCTTGTCTCCTTTGGCGCTCCACATCTCTATGCATAATCTTCTTCCTTTTTTGTTCGTTGGGGTTCTCATCGTTGGAAGCGATGGGCGGTGGATTTCTCCGGCTGCTTCTTTTGGACCTTTTGGACGCACTCTTATCATTCTCCAAGGAAGAGATGGAGGGGAACTGAGGAACAGAGATATTATCTATGCACGAAGAAATTGAAGGGAGAGGGAAGAGTTCATCTCCCAAATCAAATGAAAATGGTGATTCAATATTGAATTCCATTTCTTAAGCCCAACACAGATTAACCAATGTTGAAGGGTTCATGAAAATCATGTACAATCCTCCATTTATAACCATTAGTTTCTTAGCTCGACCAGCTAGTGAAAACTTAAAACAATTTATTTGTTATCTATCTATACTCATTAAACCATACTCAAATTATAATTATTATTAATTTTTTTAGTGAAATTAAAGTGGATTGTGATTATTATTTTTTTTTTCTTCTACAAAACTATAGAATAGTCGTATTTGTAGTATGATAAATTTTTGTATAGTAATTGACGATTACAAGAGTTTATATATTAATGATATTCATAAATATAATTATGTCAATAATATATATATGGTAGACAAGTCACTCTTTCACCTTTTCGTTTCTGTTTGCTTTTTAGAATAAAATGTACATAGGTTTCAAATATAGTTTTGTCCTTTAGAAATAATTTTGGTGATGGTGACAAAAGTATTAAAAAAAAAAAAAATTCTTCTTTTCAATAGTATAAGATTTTGTTAGCATTCTCACGAGTAGGCAATCAATCCAAAATCCATTCGAAATGTCTTATACATATTGTTTTAATTTATGTGGCTATCATAAACTACCGTGTATTCTTTCTGTAATAGCTCAGTCGATCAATCTATATCTCATTCAACATGTCTCATAGAAATTGACAATTCATTGTTCTAATTTATGTGGCTATCATAAACTGTCTTGTATTCTTTATGTAACAGTTCAGTCAATCAATCTCAATTTTATAAAGCATGTCTCGTAGAATTTGATGATTCATTGTTCTAATTTGTATTTTTTATGTGACAGCTCAAGCGTACTCCAGATATTGTTGGCTTTTCCTTTAAGTTTTTAAAATGGGTCTTCTAAAAAAAGATTTCCGCATACTTATAAAAAAAAAAAGATTTGTTCCCTTCTCAAACAATCGTGGGATCTCACACTTTCTTTATACTTAGATAAATTACAATCATCTTTGAGAAATTTTTAGTACCTCTTATTTCACATGTGATTACGAGTGTTATGTGGGATTCAATCACTAAACATAAAATATGAACAAATGACTAGAAAATTAAAGTATCTATATTGAGTTGTTTTTAATACTTTGATTCAAAAATGTCTTTAAAATGGTCTTTTAAAAAATACTCTTTAACGTCCACAAGTGTTTAAACATACCCTTAAGTTTTCAAAACTTTTATTAATACTCTAATTTTTTTAAAAAAACTTCATGAATTGAGGTGAGGTCACAAGGTAGGTCAGACCCTTCTCAGCTCTTATTAAAGCCTTGAGCCAACCAACCGTCAGTCAGAATCAAGAAAGTCTCTCCCCCTAGAGGTAAACCTATTCCATTGGTCTCCCAATTACATTGCCTCTCCCTCGAACACTTATTAGTTTATAAGCCGGAACGAACCCTCAGCCTAAAGAAAGAGTTGACTAGACTAGGTAATCTCAGCGAATAAAGGATAAGAAAAGTAGTTCAGGATAATTAAAAAATCAGGAGTATTGCTCTTTTACAGTTCAAGAATAAATAGTCAAAGGATCATTATGAATAAGGAGCGAAAGCTGTGAGACCCGTAGAGCGAAGGAGCGAATGTGTGAGACCAACCCATTTAATTTAAAAAAAAAAACAATAAATACTCCAAGTTAGTATCACCATTTTTTTTATTTAAAATAATAATAGTAATAATGATCAACGGTCATAAATTAATTTTTTTTCTTCATTTTTTAAATAATAATAAACTGTCATAAATTAGAATCTGTTTCTTTTTCTTAAATAATAATAATAATAATAATATAGTATTTTGAAAAGATTTCGCTTATTATAATAATTATTTTTATAAAAAGAAGGTACATATATGTACAAAATTAGTTTTATTTAAAAAAAAAAAAAAACAAAAACTCGGGTGACTGTTATTCTTTCAATCTACACGTGTAATCATTTGATTGGTTTATAATGGGAACTTAGTCGCCACATCATCATCATATTCGTTATTTTTTATTCAATTTGTTTAGGCTATTTCTTCCTTTAGCTTTTATTTGAGTGATATAAATTAAAGCACTAAAATTATCAGCCGTTTGTTATCAAAATATTAATTAATTTAATGATTAAAATTAATAATTTGAAATTAAGGGTAAAAAAAAAAAAATCCAACAATTTAAAATGTCTCTAAAATTAAAATATGATTAATAAGTTATCCATTTTTAATGTTGTATTTTATATGTTCTCTGATAAATTTAAATTATTTAAAAAATTAAATTGATATATTAAATATAAAATAAAATTTTATACGTAACTAGACCCTAAATCTTTATTTTATCTCTAAAATTAAGAAAAATGTTGAATAAATGAATAAATTTGAAAATTAAAGAGATGCAAAAAAAAAAAAAAAAAAAAAAAAAAAAAAAAAAAAAAAAAAAAAAAAAAAAAAAAAAAAAAAAAAAAAAAAAAA